TGTTGCTTATAATTTTAAAACTCATTAAATAAAATATATAACTCTAATTAGTCAGTAGTCTGTATTATAGATATGGTGTTTGATTTTTAATATTTATTTTTAATTCTTATTTTTAGTATATAAAACTATTAAATGCATAGTTTCATAATTGACTTTATTCATTATGAATGATGTTATGTTTTATTTTTGCATGTAATTTTTTATGAAATAACCGGTCTATTTAGAATTTTTTTGAAGGAGGGAGGTAACTTGGTAAGATATTGTTTTATCTAACGTTTAATGTTTATAAATCCATGTAAAATTCTTATTTTAATATCCATAATTTTTTTTTAAACTCAGTTCAAGAAAACTCAAACCTAGGGCCTTTCCCCACTAATTTTACTCCAATGTGAAGCAATAATATATTTATAACTGATAGTGTTGGTATTTTTAGATGGTAGTTATTAGTTAAATACTTCATTTTTATAATCAATGAAAATATTATGCTTGACTTATGTTTTATTTTTTTTGTATTTATATTTGACTTATTAGATTTACTGATAAATCAACATTCAAACTGACGATACCATCAAGTTATGGAATGGTAAATATGTTTTTATTGGTTATTCAAAAAGCCATAAATAACATTGGATTGGAAGTTGGAGATATTGTTCTCAAGAAAAATAAATTTGTGCATCATTTGAAGAATTTGTACAATATAATTTTCTTAGAAGATGTGAATAAGTCTGTTCAAATTGACAGAGTTATGGAATATAAGGTAAAATATATTCTTCTTTTTTACATTGTCCTTTGCTCCCAAATATATGGGTTTATACCTCCATATAGGGCTCTTCTAATTTACTCTCACCAGTTTAGCTAATTTTGTGGTCCCTATTTTGTCTATACATCTCTTATTTGGTCTTCTTCTCCCTCTTTTCTTTTACATTAATTTCCATAGCCACTCTCACTGCCTCAGCGTCACTTCTCGGTATAACGTGACCGAACCATCTCAACCTATTGGCCCTCATTTTGTCTATAATATTAAATATTAGTGCCACTCCTACACTACCTATAGTTAATTAATTTCCTATTCTATCCTATAGTCATTCCACACATCCAAAGTGTTCTCATCTCTGCTACAATTAACCTCTTTCTGTTTTGTTTTATTGTCCACTGCCCAGCACAACTATCTTCAAGAGTTCATAACTACTTTATAAAATGTAGATTAGGTAAGATATATACTATTATTTTGGTATTAAATTAAAACTGGTTTAGTATAGGTAGGGAGTTTTGCTACTCTTGTAATTTTTTCTCTGCTTTTAAACATATTTTTAATTATTATAGATTGAGCGCAATTCATTTTTGAACAATTGTTTTTATTCACTTCTTAGTGATGATCACAGTTCAATTTTATCTAGCAATCATTCGTGTAATCTATCGCTGAACTATAAAACAGAAAAAAATAATTTTTTTGGAGAAAATGATATATTCAATGATAATTTTGCTGATGAACTTGAACGCATTACAATTACTTATGATGTGAGTTTAAATCTTCAAGTTTGTGTTTTACTTTTCTGATCTTATTAATTATATTTTTCATTTATGTATAGGTAAAATTTCCATTAAGCTTAATTTTAACCAATGAGGTAATATTTAACTATAACAAAATTTTTCGTCTATTAATAACAAGCAAGCAAGCTGTAGCAATGATCTCTCAGTTACAAACTAAAGGTAAATGTATAATATATTTTATATGTACATTTCATAATGCTCATTGTAATAATGATGAATTATCAATACAATATTTCAGATTTAAATAAGTATAACTACTCATTAGATGTGAAGCGAATGTATTTTATTAGATTATGGATTATGTCAACTACTTATAAGCTGCAAACATACTTCTTCAGTGTTGCATCAAGATATCTGGGCTCTAAACTATTTGATAGTATTAAAAATGTAAAAAATGGATTAGATGCTTTTGAAAAAGGTTAGTTGTATGTTTATTTGTATTAATGTTGACTTAAGTTTAATATATAATATACTAGCCGACCCGTCACAGCTTCGCCCGTGATTGGTTGATTATTTTGTTTTTGGACGATGATAATATGATATGTATAATTTTTTATTTAAATTTTATTTTTCTGATTAATGTGATCAGCCAGTAAATATAAAAAACGGTTAATGAAAATGTATTGAAATGTTTCTAATGGTATTAATATCGGTATTAATGGTAAATATATTTTTATAGCAGAACCCGTGCACTTTATTACCCGTAAAAAAACGCGAATCTTAAAAAAATTATGATTATTTAACTACTTTATGGTGTAACTTGCTGCAGCCTGCAGTAAATGCAACTCAGCCACTCTGGTAAGCAATCCGACTACGTCGGATCGCGGACAAAGGGCAACTCTTTCACCAATCACCCTGGTAGGCAATTTTCAATAATTCGATTTGATGCAAGTTTGTACCTGATCTGCCCAAAAAACCAATGACTACCCATAATAAATAAACACTTATTAGTTCTACTGTTGACTTTAACCAATGGAAACTATTAATAAATAAAAATAAAATGTTTGATGTGAACTTCAATGTCCCTGTTCGAGACCTCTTTAAAATGCGAATTTTGGCAAATCCTTTCTTATTGCACGGTGAAAGTATTAGAAGAACCACTATTCCAAACTTCAAGTTCGTAGGTTGAGTAGTTTTTAAGATACAGCGATCAGTGAATCAGTGATATTTGGATTTTAGGTGTATAATGTATATTCCCTTCTCCCTCCCCTCAGATAAAAAAAAAAAAAAAAAATGAAAAATTAGGCGACGTGGCGACACTCAGGAAAGTATTTGGAACAACTCTGTGAAAAAAAATTGAAAAAATATTAAATAGTGTAGTCACAAAATTGGAACAGAAAAAGGCCGGTTCTTTTGTGTATATATAAGGATATACAGATAGATAGATAGATAGATACATATAGTAATACTGCAATAGATAGATTGTTGAATTTTACTTCTCGGAACAATTCATATCTACACGCTTATAAAACACACAAAAGAAAAAAGTTCAGGTTGCTGGTAGCTGGCCGCCATGCCGCCTCTGGCCGCCATGCCGCACAATATGTATTATATATAGGTATACAATTTATACGTTTATTTTAATTAATAATAACTAATTATTTATTAATTTAAATTATTGCGGATTAAATTTATGCTATAAACCATTTTTTATGATTTTTCAATATATTTGAAGAATTATCTGTACCTATAAGATTTTATGAAATAAAAAATGTCTTATTGTTTTGAATATAATTTTAAATATTTTTTTTAATTGAATTTTTCTCCTGTTGTTCATATATTTCTTACAAAACTTTTTTTTATAAATGATGTTAATTCTGAAATTTTGAAAATGTTTTCACTTTTGCCACTATAACATTATCCCTAAAGAAGTAAATTTATCTGCAATTTCTGTGGAAAATGTATTACACTTCCAATTCCATTTTTAAAAATGCATTATTTCGCGAGAATATATTTAAATAACTTTTACATATTTACTAAAAAAAATTTGTTTTATAGTACTTGAAGATCATGTTAACCAGGCTATAAGGTTATGCATGCTAAATGGATCAATGGAAAAATATTCTTATGAGTCATTGGCATTGGTATTTATGAAATTCATTCTAAATAAAAATTCAACATTTTAAACACTTTATTTACATGTAGTTATGGAATGCGTGTGAACAATTTACAAAATTGTGGGCGAGAAGTGTAAAGGAAGACAGTATTGATGTTGAGTTAATGGAAAAAATTGAAGAAGAATATGTAGATTCTTGTTGGAAATTAGCAAGTAGTTTGGACACGTACCTTTCATCTGAAGATGATACATCTAGTATTTGTAAGTATTAATACATTTTTTTTTTTTTGATGATTTTATATTATCTAATAATGGGTTATTTCAGTATTTGAATTCTGTCGAGATTTTATGTCAAGCATGCCAACTAAAGAATCGGCTGATCTTGATGGTAGTTTAATTTACAAATTGAGTGATTCACGTAATCGATATTCTTTTACATATATTTAAACATCATCCTAGAAATTTAAAATTTAGTTATTATAATGGACGTTCGTAAGTACTTTTTAACTTAAATGAACCAGTTTCCAAAAAATGTAAATAAATTATTATTTTATAATATTTAACTTTTTGATGTCTTGTTAATTGTCTGTTATATGAATATTTCTTATAGAATTTCTATTTTAATGAATAAAACAAAACTCAATGTTATCCTAGTTAAATAATTGTGCAAGTTTATTATACGATTATGTTTTAAGTAATTTCATAAATAGTATCGAGTTAATATCTTGAACCCTAAATAGAATAAAATAATATTATGATACATAAATTAATAAACAGAAGGAACATTCTGATGTGCTGTTAGTGAATTCTAAAGCTGGCGCCACACATAGCAGTTTAGCGAGGTCGAAACGCTGTATAGGTATTGAGTTGGTCCGCTCGGTTGAAACTCGCTGTTTGGCGTTACCCATCTAATTTTGGCTGTTTCATTAATTCCAAAAAACCCGCGGTTAACCGCTATGTGTGGCGCAGCGTTTATTTTTTTCTTGGTTTTTTTTATAAATAATATTTTCAATAAATAAATCATTGTCGCGGATCGCACCTTGTTCGCCACACACGTAACAAATTACGCTCCGTCAAATCGTTACGATCACGTTTATTTTTCAGTTCGAATGTGACAAATTAATACGTAGAAATAGTCTTAATTAAAATTGCTATCAACTAATCAAAGTAGATACAATTTACAATAAGTTAATTGCGTAAATTCACATTAAATAAATTGAAAATTCTGTGCGTTTTTAAAACAACGTTCATTGTTACATAACAGTCGTCGCGCTATCGCTGCCGCGAGCGGAGTTCCACGACCTTTGCCCATGAGATAATTATGCAGACGTCTCAAATTACATCGTCGAACCAAAAAGGCAAAAATAAAAATAATTCTAAAAACACTATACATTCAGCTTGCCATGATAAATCCACCACAAATACAAATCACACAGTTTTCAAATATGATACATCCATCAACCCTACACATGCAGACTGGACATGCAACTAGGGTCGGTAAAAGGAATCGGTCAGCTTCCTCCAACCCGAGTTCTCCGGATCCTGATCCAAACAAAAAGAATAAAAAACTATTCATAACTACAAATCGATACGAACCGTTAACGCAAACTGAATCTGTCAACTCACCAGCTAACCCACCGCCTGAAACACCTACCATCGTAGACAAAATTATACTACCACCACCAATTTTTGTAAAAGGTGTAATAAACTTTTCAAACCTATGTTCATCTCTAATCGTGATAATTGGAGTAGACAACTTTTTCTGCAAATCCTCATCAGACAGCTTAAAAATCTAAACCACCGATCCGGAATCCTACAGAACATTGATCCATTTTTTAAAGGACAAAAAATCCCATTATCACACATTCCAACTCAAAGAAGATAACCCGACGTGTGCCGTTATCCGAAATCTCCACCCTACTACATCCGTAGATCTAATAAAAAGCGAATTAGAACTGCGTCTTTTCGAGGTAAGAAAAGTCACAAACGTACTACATAAGACCAACAAATGCCCGCTACCTCTCTTCTTCGTAGACCTAGAACCAACTCACCATTCGAACGATATTTTCAAACTTTCCTCTTTGCTGCATACGAAAGTCAAAGTCGATTAACCATACAAACCAAATATAATTAGCCAGTGCCTCAACTAGGAGTACGGCCAGGAGTACACGAGCGCTACTGCGGGTATCCTGCTCGTTGCGTTCGTTGCAGTGCTTTTCATCCATCTTCAGAATGCATCAAATCACGTGATTCACCAGCCAAATGCGCGCTGTGCTCTGGGGACCATCCGGCCAACTACAGTGGCTGCAGCGTTTATAAAGAACTCCAACGTTGTAAGAAACCTGTCCCAAGTAATGCTTTCATATCAGATAATGTTAGATATAAGTCACATAATGTACAAGTTAGCCACCCAGTAAATGGTACTCCTCCAAACCTTTCACCGTCCTACGCCCAGGCTACTGCAGGCCTATCACATAACCTTCCGGTACCCGAATCAGCTCCGAACATTAATATAACAATTACAAATTTCCTTGAAGAATTAAAAATTCTTATAAATCTTTTAATTTCATTACTCACGAAAGTTATTTCCAGTCTTTTAGATAAAAAAAATGAATAATAATGCCTTTACAAATAAATCCCTCCAAAACTTATTGTTCAATGAAAATGGCTTAAAAAACCACGTTAACGAAATACAAACTTTTTTATACAATAAACGAATCGACTTTGCCCTCATAACAGAAACTCATTTTACCCAACACTCACATATTTACATTCCAGGTTATGAACTTCTCAAAACAAATCACCCAGACAATACTACTCATGGTGGTGTAGCAATTCTTATAAAATCAACAATAGCATTCCAAGCCCTCCCAAACTTTTGCGAGGTTTTCCTGCAATCTTGGGCTGTACTAATTCATCTGAACAATATTCCACTAACGGTTGCAGCTTTATATTCTCCCCTGAGACACAATATTAATAGTGAACATTACACGAATTATTTCAAAACAATCAATAATAATTTTATCATCGGTGGCGACTACAACACTAAACATCAAAATTGGGGCTGCCGTGTAAATAACCCGCGTGTTATAGTCCTTCATAATTTCGTAAATTCAAAAAATTTCAAAATATTAGTGTGGATAAAAAGTCCAGATATTCTTGATATCTTTGTCTCGAAAATTCCTACTAGTTTATACTGCACTACTGATAACATTCTTGATCTAAATTCAGATCATTCATCAGTTCTCCTTACACTTATAATGACTACCCTTCAACTCATACAACACCACCAAAGCTTTTTAATACCTTCACTGATCGTTTTAAATTCCATGATCTAATTAACCAGGGAATCAAACTAAATGTAAAATTAAAATCGAATGACGATATTGATTCAGATGTAAATAGTCTCACAAGTCTAATTTAATCCGCGGCCTGGTTTTCAAACTCAGTTACAAATACCCTCTTCGAAAACAAATTCTCACTACCAAATTACATACGTATGCTGATAGCTGAAAAACGGAGAGCTAGAGCCCTCTATCAACGAACCCACCTTACATCCCATAAACAAAAACAGTCTGGCCAACTCACTTAAAAAAATCCTAATAAAATACAAATCCCTTTCTTTTGCGAATCACCTATCCAACTTATCAGCAAACGATGGAAGTCTTTTTAAAACAACCAAGCAAATATTTCAACACAAACTCACAATCCCTCCAATAAGAAAAATTGATGGCAGTTTCGCTTCAACTGACCTTGAGAAAGCTGAATTATTTAAAAATCATCTCTACGAAATCTTCCCATCCCACCCAGATATAATTGTACCTGAAAATGTAAATATTGTCCAAACATTCCTTGACTCACCCCTCCCACTTACCCTTCCAGTGAAACACTTCACACCAAATTACGTCAAATTCTCGATTCAAAAATATCAACTCAAAAAATCTCCGGGTTTTGATTTTATCACAGCCGAAGTGGCCAGATGTCTACCAAAACGTGCTATTATTCTACTAACCCACATATTCAACGTGATTCTGAGACTCTCCTATTTTCCACTCCTTTGGAAGTTTTCTACAATTATACTGATTCCAAAGCCAGGCAAACCCCTCTACTTTCTATCTTCTTACAGACCGATTAGCTTGCTCCCTTTTTTTTCCAAAGTTTTAGAAAGACTCTTACTCAAACTCATTCTTCCCTTTATCTATGCAAATAATGTACTGCCGGACAACCAGTCTGGTTTACGCGCCAAGCATTCTACCATTCATCAAGTCCACAGGGTTGTTGATGCGATTACTTTTGCGTTGGGAAAAATGTTATTTTGCACATGTGCATTCCTTGATATCTCACAAGCTTTCGATAGAGTATGGCACGAAGGGCTGCTATTTAAAATTAAGAAATGTATACCTCCAACTTATTACATTCTCATTAAATCTTATCTCGAAGACCGTTACTTTAAAATTCGTCATGGATCTGCATATTCTAGTAAAGCTGGCATTAGAGACTGTGTCACGCAAGGAGGAATTCTCTCCCCAGTTACGTTCAATATTTATACTTTAGACCAACCTACTATGCCTAATACCTTAGTGGCGGACTATGCAGATAAAGCAATAATATCAACTAGCGCAGACCCTGTTTTAGCTTCCACTTATCTTCAATATCATCTCTCTCAAATGGAGGATTGGTACATGAAATGGGGGCTTAAAGTCAACCAAACGAAATCAATTCATACAACTTTCACCCTCAAACAAGCCGAAAGTCCGGCTGTAACTCTCTATGACATCCAAATTCCCTCAACCTCTACAGTAAAATATCTCGGACTAACACTTGATCGCCGACTTACTTGGGTACACCATATTAAAACTAAACGGCTGCAGCTAAATTCTCGGTTACGCATGCTTAAAACACTCATCATTAATAATAAACACACAAACCTAAACACTAAATTACTAATGTACAAATCCCTACTCAGACCTATATGGACCTACGGTCTACAACTATGGGGCAATGCCAAAATCCCAAATCTTAAAAAAATCCAAACGTTTCAAAATATTACATTAAGAAAAATTACCAACTCTCCCCCGTACATATCAAATCACACCCTCCACACCGATCGCCGTCAAAAAACCGTCCAAGAAAAAGCATAATACTTCTATAAGCGTTTTCATGATCGTCTCATAACCCACACAAATCCATTAATCCGTGAATTAGCATCTAACGAAATTCCTGGTAATCCTCACCGACGACTAAAAAGAAAATGGTACAGAGATCTCCTAAGCAAATAAAAAAAAAAAAAAAATTAACGGTAAATCAAGTACCTTGTTAGTCAAGGTCAATAGGGAGTGTCATTACTGGGTAGCTTCTATTCCAACAACTCTTTCAAGTCAATTGTAAATAATACAGCCCATATTCTTATTGTGCCTCTATATATTGGTACAGATTGTATATTACTTATAAGTTATAAAAAAAAAAAAAAAAATGAATGAATAAAAAATTGTTAACTAAACACAAATATCTTACGCATACTCGTTATTTATTTTCCATAACTAACAACCAATTAACCTTTAAGTTCCCTCCTAAGACATTTATAGTCCTCAACAGAATTAGTTGTCAAACATTGTCAAAATCTTGAATCTAATATCACAATGTTGAACATGATACATTGATAAATGTTAAATAATAGTAAAACATTATTCAACCCAAGTAGGTATAGATATCACTTAATATGACTACCTACTTATATTATTTTAATATTTTAAGGGAAGAGGGTTGTAAAATGTTCAAGTGTTTAAATAAATATAATGTGATATTAATTTATAAACATATTAAACAAATTATTTTATTCGTTTTTAGTAGTGGCTTGAAAACTTGAAATTTTGGTATCAGAAACCATTGATATATATTATACATAAATATACGTCGGGCAACACATTATGTTTTTGCGAAGTATGTAAAACAATTTATTTATAATATAGGTACCTACTACCTATACTCATCATCAGTAGACGCAGTATTAATGACGAATTTACGATGTAAGATGTTAATTGTACTGTAAACCTAGATAATAACCTAGGCATTACATATTTTATAATTTTATATTTTCTTGGGTTTTTGATTATAATAAACTTCGATATAAATATTGGTTGTTATATCAACAATGTTTTATTTGTATTTTATTTTAAATTATAAAAAGTACACAAGTACAAAAACATGAGACTATGAGACTAATATAACGTGACATTACATTATATTTTATGCGAACAACAATAGTTAATGCACAGAATAATGCTTAACCTAAAATAATTCATTAAACAATAATAATAATAATAATAATAATAGGAGACAGTGTATACAACTGTCGCATCTCCCTTTAATTTTTTAATTTATAAATAAAATAAAAAAAATATAAAATAATTAATACATAATCATTAATAGAACCATAATTATAACTATTATAAATTTAGTTTTTTTTGGCATTTTAATTATGCTCCCCGCTCTAATAATCTTTTCCCCTTCTTTCGCTATTTCTTTACCACTATTATTTTCATTTTTCTCAGCATTATTTTTATCCTCATCAGTTACTGATAAGTCTCTGTATATAATCTTTTTATAATGCATCTACCGTTCCTTCTCAAAGTCTTTCCTTTTTCATTTTTTTATTAGATAACTTCTGGGATTCACTCAATTTTCTACAATTTTAGCAGGATTCCATAATTTGTTAAATTTGTCTTGTACATAAATTGGTTGATCTACAACATAAGTGTCCTATGATCTCCTTGCATTTCTATATCATACCACTGTTTTTGTTTCTTTTTATTTTCCAATATTTTATCATGCACCTTTATCACTTCAGGTTTTAACTGATTTTCTCTATTTATTGCTATTGTACTTTTTAGTTCTTTTGACTGTAGTAGTTGTGCAGGACTATAAGTCATAAGACAAGCTTGTTAAAGGTGTATTTCTATATGCTAATAAGTTCCTACTCAAAAATACTTTTTCCTGTATACTTACTGTTTCGGCGAGGAAATTAATTAAGAGTGGACTGTATTTTTTGTATTTGTTTTATTTTCACGTAAATTAAATACTATAATTTTTATTTGCTTGATTTGCAATGGTAATGTGTATCATGACAAAATAGATCTATTTTGTCATGAATCGTGATGTGTATGAAGTCTCTGTGTAAGTCTGCCTGGGTAGGTTTTCCTGCAGATTTCTCCGTTGAACACACTGACTAGATTTGGTGCTCGGCAGTCGGCACTCGTATTGATAGCCTGGTCTCTCCCGCCGCGTCGTCGCAGGAGCCGCCCATGAAATGTCTGAGGTTGGTGATTGGGTGTGGTGGAACTGCGGAGATAACGCTGGTTGCCCGCGGTATTGGCTGCTGCTGCTCTCGAAGCCACGCCCACAGCATTCTGCCGTCGTATGTCCGTATGCGATTTGGGACAAACAGGCGAGCGCCCGCGGCGCTAGTCTGGAGCCAGTCGAGTAAGGAACAGAATACTGCACCGGGAAAGTCGGTCGCAAGTAGTCCGGCAACTTATTTTATTCATTTTCGCCGAATGAGGCCATCAATGAGATTTGTTTGAGTAATTTTGTAACTACACATTATTGCGACCGGTGTCCCTTATGACCGAACCGATGTGACCCGCGCCTTACATAATCCATAGATCCAGCCGATATAGTCGTACGCCTCCCGACGTCAAACGTGCTTGATGCAGCGTTTTATTCGTGACGATCGACTCATGATAGTGCCGACCGACTGTATTCCGAATCTCATCATATTATGCAAACAAATAGTTGGCTGACTGCCCTGCAGTGTGATATCATTTTTATATAACTATATTACCTTTAAGAACAATTATGGTGACATCGGAAAATACTTCTCGTGGCACGAACACTGACTTTTCTTTAACATATCTTTGGCAATACCGCGACCCCTTTTTCAGCTAATCCGTTACATTGGGCATAGTAAGGACTTGATTTTGTCAATTTGAAATTCCAATCTTTTGCATACATACTGAATCTCACACTTCCAAATGGCATATTGTCAAATACAATTTCATTAGGAATTCCGAATTTTTTTAAAAAAATCCATTAATAAATCAATAATACTATCTCTAGTCTTATCTTTTAATTCTACTATTTCAATAGATCTAGAATAGTAGTATATGACTATCAAATAATTGACACCTCTTAACTCAGCTATATCCATTGCTATTTTATAGAATGGTAAATCTGGAATATCACGTGCTAACATTGGTTCTTTTATTTTAGATTTGCTGAATTTTAAACAAACGGGACAAGATAGTATATAATTTTCAATTTGACTGTATATTTCAGGGAAGTAAAATAATTGTTTAGCTCTTGCTTTTGTTTTTGATGTTCCTAGATGTGTTTCATGCAGTTTATGAATTACATATTTTCTAAGACTTTTAGGTACTAATATTCTGGTCTCATAATATAGTAGTTCGTTGTTAATCATAATTTCTTTCTTAACTTCCAATAATGCTTTAATTCACCATCACTTTTGCATACTTTAGGCCACCCTTCCTTACAATATGTTAGTACTATTGCCAATATTTCATCATTTTTGGTTTTCTCAATAAACTCACTTTCCTTATTATTTTTTAAATTTAACTGAATTTCACTGATAGTTTGTATAACATCACTCATGTTGTCTTCTTATTCTCTGTCATTTCTTTTAATAAAGTTTCTACTAAGTAAGTCAGCAATATACATATATTTGCTTGGCAAATACTCAAGGTCTATGTCATAATGTAAAAATTTAATTTAAAACAAACTGTGGTAAAAGTTCGTTTTTTTCAAGAGCTAATATAAATGCCAATAGAATCTCCGCTGTCTTGTTTTTTTTGTACTATCTCTCCTACCATTTAAAAAATTAAACTTTATTATTTTAAAACCATAGTCCATAATGCTTAATTAATATTTTCAAAATTATTACCATTTTGTTTTTACTTTTTAGTGTCTTTGTGCCATTGGTTTCTTACATTTTTTCTGTTTTGTAATGTTGTGTAAAAGGGCTTATGCTCGTTGATATTATTATATTATAAATAAATAAATATTGTATACAGCTAATGGCCCATGTCGCCCATATTTATACTGAAGTTTAAAATAAATATATATAATCCAAAACACAAGAAAATATAAATTTGTAAAATATGTAATACCTACATTATCTAGGATATATATTACAATAAACATCGTAAATTCGTCATTACTCATTAATACTGATGATGAGTATATTATAAATAAATTGTTTTACATACTTCACCAAAACATAATATGTGGACCGGCGTATTGTATAGGCAAATTAGGTACATTACTGCAGTGGTCGATAATATTAACTGTTCATTCGGTTCTTACCTAAAGTTCGTTGTAGTAAATTGTATCTCGTCGTTGTTCATTAATCATTAGTGGTCTCCGTTATATTTATTTTAAATAATTATTATTTTTTTATTAGGGCTAAGGCTCCGACAACTTAGGTCATTAGCCTGTTGTACTATACGTTTGTTAACACGTGTGTGTCTTGGCAGAATTTTCGATTTGGGCACCCGTAAGTATCTGCCATACCCGGGTGGGGGATGACGGCGCTAATTGTTCTCTGGACACCGTGACTTGCCTAAAGAAAAATGTCTCCCGGCTCCCGCGTCTAGGAATCGACCCGGCAAAGACTGCTTCGCAACCGACGCCTTAGACCTCTTTACCACTCAGTCCCCCATTTTAAATTATTTGCTTACGGTATTTTCGTCATATTTTTGTTTATTGTATTTGCGATATTTTTCCTTCCGATCACAATGCCGTTTAAATGCATCAGATGTCTCGTGACATGTACTTATAAAGAAGATATACTAGAGTGTGCTGTTTTTAAAAAAAAATATTGCACTTCTACTGTACGGGCTACATTGAACTTAATTTTAAATAAATGTCTAATAATACGAAAGCAAGATTCTCTTGTTCAGATTGCCCAACGGCTAACTATTTTTTTGTTATTTTGATTTTTAAAACGAATTTACACATTGGAACTCCTAGACCTTCTTCGTTCATACAGTAATTTTGAATCTAACAGTACGTCTGTATAACAATCAATATTTTATGTAATTTTATTATACATTTATTTTATACTCAGTTATGAAATTGTATTGTATCTAATAATATAATATTAAAAATTTAAATATTTTTAAATTCGGCGGCCTGCCCAAATGTAATTTGTTGTTTACTCCAAGCCAAACTGATATGATATTTTTCATCCATGAAAGTGATATCAACCGTTTTTTTCTAGTGATATAAACCGTTTTTATTTACTGTCTGGTCGTGGTCTGGTATTTTCGAGTGATGTTGACTTCATAGATCAGAGTTCAAAGACTTATCAGTACTCGGTTGTTGTTATCAGCAACTTCAAGCATGGGTCTGGTTCGCTAATTATGGCTGGTGGCGGCCAATAAAACTTATAAAAGGTCGTCGTTGTACCTATAATAATTAATAATAAATATTTTATATTTACTAGGTTGTAGGTTTTTTATAGTATTTACTACGTACTATTTTTTTGAGACTCGACGAGTATTTACAATGTCAACGATTTTGCCCTTCGCTAGTAAAACGGTCTTGATCGGACGTCACGATTATCAATCGCTCTTGGACGGAGTGCAACTCATTAGTTTGGGATTGACGAGAAAAGAAGACACGGAGGTGGTCGAGTTAAAAAGTAAAATTTTAAACGTCTTTAATACCTACCTGTATTGTGTTCAACTAATGATTTTTTTTATGAAAACTTGAATTTCAGATTTGGGAATAGAAAAAAACTATTTGTTGGGTCTGCACTGTACTACGTGTCAAATAGCATTTGAATTATCTGAAGAACATAGGGCACACTATAAATCAGACTGGCATCGGTACAATTTAAAGCAAAAAATACGTAATAGACCAACAATCGACGAGCCAAAGTTTCTTGCTCTAGAAAGTATGCATTAATAATTATTAATTATCAATTTCAATTCTAATATAAGAATTATAATCTACCTATCATTTTAATATTTTTATTTCATCTTACTTTTTTATGGTCATTTATTCAAATTCAAGTTGTTTACCGCTGGGTATTAAATACAGAAACAGTATTATAATTTTAAGTACTTATGTTTATATGTTTATATTAATTTAGATAAAGCAAATGACAGCTCATCCAGTTGTGAAAGTGACGATGAGATCAATGCTTACAATTCACATTTTTCAATTGATTCAAAATTATTTTTTGAGAATAATTCTGGCAATGCTTTTTCTGTTTACAGATGTTTATTGACTAATAAAAAAGTAATAATTACTTTATAACATTATAAAACAAAATTTAAAATAATCATTTTTGGTTTTTGTCAAATAGGATATTCCAAGCGAAGAAATAGTGGTTAATTCACTGAAGTCTTTCAGTTCTAAACCCATGTGGTTTATTGTTATGTTAGGAGGTGGTCGCTTTTCAGCTGCTATATTTAAAGGTAAACCAAAATAACATTAGCATTATACATTGTGATTAATGTATTGTTATTTATTTTAGGAGAAGAAGCAATTGTTCATAAAACTTTTCATTCGTATACGGTACGAGCGAAACAAGGTGGTTCTCAAAGTACGCAAGATCGATCAAAAGGTGGATGTAAAAGTGCTGGTGCAAGTTTACGCAGATATAATGAAGCATCCCAATTAAAAGTACAGTATATAATACTTCATTATTTATAGGTTATACATATTATCTAATTAGTTTTTATTCAGCATATTCAAGAAATATTATCATCATGGCTACCCCATATAAAATTATGTGACCTTATATTTTATCGGGCAATTGGTCCAAATAATCGAAATATTCTATTTGGTGGTTCAAATCCATTAATAGATAAAAATGACAGTAGACTATGTCAAATACCATTTGGAACCAAAAAGGCAACTTTTGCAGAAGTTCAAAAAGTTTGTAACCAACTATCAACTGTTTTAGTATATGGTAATCATCAAGATAAAATTATGAACTAATAGTTATGATTTTATGAAGTAATAATTTTGAATTGTTTCTACTTTCTTGCAGATTCAAAAGAAATCATTAATAATTCTATTAAAAATTATATATTAAAGTTATTTAAGAAAAGAAAAAATACGAAATCTAGAACAAAAAAAATTGTAGAGAAACCTATTAAAGACCTTCAAAATTCAAATGAAAAAGTTTCAGAAAATATTCAACTATCTTCAACATCGGGTAACATTTCTCTTTTTTCCATATGGAATAATATATATATATTGTGTTATATAATATTAATGTTCATATCCACTGTAAAATATAATTTTTCTTCTAAATTTAACTTCAATTAAAATAGATGATAATGTATCTACAAACTCGAACTATATTTCTCAATTATTTAATTCATTCTTACTTATTTATTATTTTTCACTTAAGTAAAAATAATACAAATCAAATTGTTGTATGTTTGATTTATTCTGATTTTATCATTGTCATATCTATAGAAAAAATCAATAATATTATGTACATTAATACACGGTATTTAGTTAAATTAAAAAAAAATTTACATTTTATTTTGGAATTTTAGATTCCAGTGAAAATGATAATGAAAATAAAACTGTAGAATTTCCACAAAGTAAAATATTATGCGAGAATAATGACAGTGTAGTCAAAAATGATTCAAAAAACAAGAAACGCAAGAAGAGGAAAAAGAAACCCAAAGACACGATTGTTAAATGTGCAGAAGTTGAAGAAGTAAAAAAACTTTTATTAAAAACAATTGAAGAAAAAAATTCTGAAGCTTTAAGTAAATACCTTTTATTGGAAGATACGCATAGTTCTATCACTAAAGAATATTTAGAAAAAAGCTTAAACGAAACTATTGATGAATCAAATAACACTTTACTTCATTTAGCCTCTACTTACTGTCTGCACGATCATATTTAGTAAGAAATTGTATATTTTTTAATATTGTTATTTAGTTAAATAGTTAAATCAGTGAATTATAATATTTTTGTATTTTATAGTTTACTTTTACAACATGGATCAAATCCAATTAATAAAAATAAAGACGCCAAAACACCATATGAATTAGCACCAGATAAGTCAACTAGAAAAGTGTTTCGGAAATTTATGGCGGTTTTTCCTGATAAATATGATTATGATAAAGTAAATTATTATTTACATTTTCAACATTCATATTGTAGTTTAATAAAATATTTGAGTATGTTATTTGCAGTCACGGTTACCAGGACCATTAACAGAAGAGTTACAAGAAGAATTAAAAGAAAGAAAAAAAGCTAAACAAAAAAGAGCCAAAGAAAGAAAAGTAGTCGAAGAAATAAAAAAAGAAGAAGAAATTGAAAAGCAGAAATTTCTTCAATTATCAGATCGAGAAAAAGTAATATCTCATCTTAAAAAAATATATAAGAAATAAGAATAAAATGTACCATATTTGTTTTAATTTTAGTGTGCTATAGCAGCAGAAAAACGATTTATGGCAGTTCAAGGGACTTTTAAATTGTTGCGATGTTTCTATTGTGGCAAAAATATAGAAGAAAAGTATCCTTTTGAATACATGGATTATAAATTTTGCAGTGTGCAATGTGTCAAAAATCATAGACAAAAAAATATTGTAATCTAAAATTGTATTGTAATAAAAATGTTATTATAACAAATAAATCGCTTAATTCCATACAAATGATTTAGGTTTACTCAGAAGTCAGAACCCATAAATGTAAATTAAATATGTGGCAAGCCCAACTAATTTTCCAAAAATAAACCACTGAAGAGTAGTTTTCTACTACTATTTTGCACAAGACTGAAATTGCCACACTACTATTTTTTGTCACGGCTTTGCGTTCATAGATCATGGCAAAGGTAATGTAGGGATCCTGATCCATGCAACAACCAGAATATTCTACTGAAACAATATTTCATGAAAGCAACGATTTGGTTTTATTTATTTTAAGCGTCATGCATGGATGTTATAATATGGATATAAAATGTAAACAAAAGTTTATGTTTGTAAGGAGTAAGAACCAAAGTATAGATTTCAGTGTCTGGTTGTGCCGGGGATATGTGCGCCTGCGCCCCACAGCACTTTTGGGATTTCCACTTTACCACCCGCTGGACGAGAAAAGCCAAAAGAACACTGTACAACTCTTCGGCATTCGACCCAGTGCCGGATTAACCGCCGGTACTTATCTATGCCTTCGGTGCACCTACTCTTTGAAATATTTGGGGGCCCTGATATTATGGATATCAAGTACTATAAAATAAAATTGGTAATTGGTAAAATGTTTTTTTAGATTCTGAGTGGAACGATGAATGTATTGATTTTACAATGATGCGTGTTTTTTTTTTATTTTTGTGTCGGTCATCACGTTTTAGGACAGTAAAATTGCTTGGATTTTCTTCAACAGTATCTTTTCTGATAGGAAAGTGAATCTAGTTGGTACTTTGGGAGGTCAAAAGTAAAAATTTCCCAGTTGTTTTCACAAGTGCCGGAATAAACAACAGAAAAATAAAGGAAAAACGGGAATTTTTACGCAAAATCGGTTTTCCAAGAAATCGATTTTGGTTTTTGGTGTAACTCTAAAACAAAGTAACGTATATACATGAAATTTTCACTGGTTGTTTATATTTGCATTTTCTATACACGATAACATTTTCAAAATATTTTCATTTATTTTGAACTGTTTAGGTGCATTTTCATTTTCCATTTTTTTTTAGTTATTTTTTCTAAAAATATCAATAAAATTTTATTAGCTGGTTAAAAATGCTAGAAAATTTAATAGAAGGCTCCTAGTATATTGTTTCAAGGGAAGATGAAAAATATTAAAAATCCTTAGTCACAATTTTTTTTTATAAGCATTTAAAGTTCAAAAATATGGAAAAATCACGAAAATTAGCAAATTATTTTGAGTTAAGAATTCGTAAAAATTTTTTTTTTAAATCTAAGATTTGAAAATGTAATACAAGATTCCTTATAAGATTATCTTCCTTTATCAAAAAAAAAATGTCTATAAGAAAGTCAAATTAAATTTTTATGAGCGTTTGAAATTTAAATTTTTACAACATTGGATATTCACTCGATTTCTCATGTTGCGATTTCGTTATTTTGTTGTAATTCAAAAACTAATAACTGTAGATACATGAAAATTTCACTGAGTGTTTATATTAGCATTTCCTATACACCATACAATTTGATGAAAATATTTTGACTCTTTTTGAGCTGTCTACGGACATTTTCAGTTTTCAATTTTTTTTAGTTTTTTTTCTATAAATATCAAAAAAGTTTATCTGTTGGGCCAAAAAGTGTAAAAATGTTATACAAGGCTCCTGATATATTGTGAAAATAGCAATTGAAAAATATTAAAAATACATTGGCACAATTTTCTTTTATAAGCATTTAAAGATCGAATTTTGACAAAATTTATCAAAATTAATCGAAAATTATCAATCATTGTAATTAATAAATTATAAAATGTTCAGTTTTTATAGCTAAGGATTGCAAATTTAAAACATAGGTTATCATAAATAGTTCATACCGTAACCAAAAAATCAAAAAATTTAAGAACATAGTTATTTTTTACAGACATTTTAAATTCAAATTCGGACGAAATTACATATTAAAAAACCTAGAATAACTATTTTAGTTATTTTGTTGTGATTGTATAATATTATTCGTGGGTTCTTGAAACTTCTAAAGACGTATACTACTATATATCTATGATAGTATCAGCCATCAGGGTTTGTTGTTGGTGTATAACGCGTTATAAGTACCTAATGGATATTGTGATATGACTAATTTGGAATTCATTATAGGTCAATTTTTTTTAATACCATAGATAACTAAATAAGTATATAATATGTCTTTTACCTAGACTGTCATGCCGTCTCCGCTCAGAATCGTTTTTCTTATACAATGATATAATATCATTGAATTCAAATGTAATACCATCCATAACACCTTATACAGTGATCCACTTGTAACCTACTGTACAGCTGAGCGACACCCACTTGCCCACCTTTTTTTTTCAAATGGTGTATTTAATTAATTTTACTTTGAAAGTATATTAAATTTATTCCCATCGGTTTTGAATTATAATTGTGAATGTTTGATTGATTGTTTTGTATTTATTTTTTATACACATTATCGTGTTCGCTGATACACAAATTGACCGATACAAAATAACGTAAACATATAGGCGAAGGGCGAATACCTTAAAATAGATGTATTGAACATTTTCTAATATATAGTACATTTTATAACATTTTTAAATTAGGGCCAACTACATATTTCTTATACGCCGGGGCCCTAAGAGTTCAAGATCTGGCACTGATTCGACCGCTATCGAAAACCAAACTTTCGGTGCAGGCATGCAAAAACTAATTTGCAATTGTGATTTTGAATAGAATCTTGTCAACACTCGACCATCAGGCACTCATAAACAATTATTGTGGATATTTAATGCTCTACTTTTGTATTTACTTAACACTAATAATATGACTATTATGAGGAATTTTTTATTAGATTTTCAAGTATTTTGACTGAGCATAAAATTGATCGATTCTAATTAAAATGTATTATGCTTATATAAATTTTCAAATATTTAAACTTTTTTTTTTAACTAAATTTGGTAAAAATTTAAAATAGGTGTCTGCGATTATTAGTTAAACTAAAAGTCATTATTATTTGAATTAGTATTAGTAATTAGTATATTAGTGTATAATAAAATTTCATAAAATTAAATGCACTCGACGTTTATTGGTAGATAATTAATTCTTACATCGGAATTTAAAGAGCTTTCAAGAGTTTTAATATTTATATCCTTTTTAGGTGATTATGCATTTTCTATAACAGGATTTTTTTGTTTCTGTTTTCTAAAAAAACAAAATTAATATTTCGATTATACCTACCTACTTGTTTATAATATACAAATATGTTCGGTTAAGTAACACCTACACAATAATTTAATTATTATTTTATTTTATTTATTAACATTGTAAAAAAATTAATGCAATATTGATTAACAATATTCTTGCCTATATAACAAATTTATGCATAATGCGTGTTGTGTAACAATAGGTACCTACACTTGTTTCAACTCAAGCAACCAAATGAACGTTCGACAGATCCGTATTATCGACGGATTGGTGCTATCGTATTTTATAACTGCGATAGCCGATAAACCGAATTTATAATTGATTTTCTTAATAAAAGTGTAAATACTCGGATAATTTCTATACAAAAAATACCCCCCCCCCCCCGTAACTACGCCACTGAGTATAAGGTCTATGGACATTTCTGAATTAATATAATTTTAGAAATGAACATAGGCGCAAATTGACTAAATTTTTTGGGAGGAACTCAAGCCCCCCTTCCCATAGGTCATATTGCTTGGTACTAATTACTATAATTATTTTGAACTGGCGGGACTTTACCGACATTTGGGGTTACTAAGTCCCCCCTATTTGCGCCAATGGAAATGAACAAGAATATTATAACGAAGAAGGTACAGAAAAAATGCCTGAATGCGTCAGTTGGTAGGTATCTATTTAAAGTCCATTAATAAGTATTTAACGAGTTGTTTGAACACGTAGGTACCTATAAAAGTATACCTATTAATTGGCTATTATTATATTATGTTGTGCTAGTGTGCTAATTACTATAGTGCCTACTGCGGTAGTGCGGTCTACGACTACAGTATAATAATATAAGGAATACCGAATAATTATTTCTTATACTAATATACCTACTAGTCTACTATAAAAAAAAATAGGTACAGAAAACAGAAAGCCGGCGTGCGTCAGGTAGTTCAGCTTATCACCAGTGTTTTATGTACAATCGTTATCAGTTGGAAATGTTGGGATATTTAAATCAAATATCAATTCATTACCGGAGTTTCCGTAGTAATAACCGACGTCTGGCAGGTTCTGAGTATTAACTTTAGACTCAATTCTTGAATTGAAAGGTTATTGGCTTTTGAATCTTGAAAATAAATCAACTCTGGGATTTCAACAATGGCTGGCGAAGTTATCGTCGATGCTCTTCCGTATATTGATCAAGGGTACGACGAGCCAGGCATCCGTGAAGCTGTAAGTAGTTTTGTTATGTCGATATTATTTTTGGAACAGACACACAATTATTCCGTTAAATTTACTTACAGGCGATCAGTATGGTAGAAGACGAAAAACGTCGTTACAGACCGTCGAAAAACTATCTTGAACATTTGCCGGCACTCAATATATCAGCGTTTGAAGTAATTAATTTTTATTTTAAGATCGAGTATTTTGTTTCATCACAGTCTGTGTTTTTAATTAAGAAACTAGTATCCTCGTCACAATGTATGACATTTTGATAATACTTAATTTTGATATTCTTACTAATTGAATTACCTAAAACATCATAACAAATTTAAATAATGACATTCTATTGTTGATATGATTAATGTTCAATAGACTGAAATGATGCGCACAGAGTTTGATAGACTTCAGCAGCGTTTGCCTATGGAAACAATGAGTATGAAACGCTATGAGCTACCTCCACCACCAGCTGGAAAACTCACGGACATGTCTGCTTGGAATGAATGTTTAGAAAACTCAATGGCCCAACTCGAACATCAAGCTACGAGGTACATACAACATTATATATATATATATATTTTAAGTTTATAGACTATTTAGGCCCCTTAGCTACAAACACCAATAACTTCCACTCTTCCCTGCCATACCCATGATTTAGTAGGTCCCTTTTGAGCCAATTGAGTCAGATCTAACCTGTCTCTCTTAACCACATATATTTTCTATTTACGTTACTCATATACTTTGTCTATACTGTCGTTGTTTCTCCAGTCGTGGGTACGTGGCCTGCCCATTTCATTCTTGCACATTTCATGATTTTAACTATACTTCCTTTTCCAAGCAATTGTTTCAGCTGCTCAATTGTCTTTCTCTTACACACTTTGGTCTGTGAGTTATAGATTGGTCCATACATTATTCATATTTTCACTTCTCAAAGATTTAATTTATTCTTATGTCCCTTATTCTTGTGTTGCCAAAGCAAAACTGGTCAAATATAATAATATGTAGTTTTATAACTTTTCTTTGGTTTTAAATTTCGTTTTCAAGAAGTTTGACTTATAAAGATTTGAAATAGTAAAGTAACATACATTACCAGCTTGCAGATGGATCTTTATTTTGTTATGCATACAATTCTCGGGGTCAACATAAATTAATATTGTATTTTTATTTTGGTATTTCAAATTATGTTTTTGCCAAAAGGATGTTCCATCAACTTCTAAGTCTAAATCTAAATTGCCAGTATTGTTGGAATAACTTGTAAAAGTGACACGGGCAATATTTTTGTTTACAAGCACCTATGCCCTACTAGCCTCAGACAGCTTATGACATGCATTTAAATAGCCTACTGCAGCTCCTAACAGCTTATCAGATCCTCGAGCACTATTTTACTGTTTAAATAGAACAACTAGTGTTTTAGACTAGGTCAGTCACTCACTTCGGTTATTCACAATTTTCCATAATTCCTGGCCTACCTGGAAATTTCCCTGTAGGCCAGTGCAACCCTGATCATTACCCTTATTCTATAAGCCCTGTATATATGTTTGGTATTTTTCTGGTTTATTGACAACCACATATTATGCTTGTACACTTTCATAAAACCAGGTATATTGAAAATCCTGCTTCGTATCGCCAAAGATTATTATATCACCTGCATAGGCTAAGGGGTTATGATTTTCATTTAATTCCATATTTCCATTGCTTGTTGTCGACTGTCGTTGAATTATTCTTATCACAACACTTCATAATAGGTACTAGATTAATCAACCTAACAATCACAGGTAACACCAGCTAGTCCCTTATCAACTTCAAATGAATCTGATACTTCTCTCTAGTCTCTGTAACTAGAGTACATACTTTGTGTTACTATTGTATCGTTGTATTAAGTTTTCAATCTTAGATTTGTCAACGCTTTTCATAATTTTGCCCGAATTATGTTGTTATAGGCCTGCTTGAAATCTAATTAGACAATATTGTGGATATTCTTATTATATTCTATGTTTACTTAGAAATTGGTCTACTGTAAATATGAAATCTGTCTTTCATGACTCCTAAAGCCACTTTTGAATAGATTATATTATATTATAAAATACTTCTGTTTTACAGAATTACCAACTTAGAACTTATGACGGATTATGGTACAGAAGCCTGGAAATCTTATTTAGAAGTTCTAGTAAAATGTGTTGCTGCTGCGCAAACACAAGTGGCTAAATTGAAGTAAATATACATTTAAAAACTATAGTTTTGTGCTTTTTGCCTTATTAATGAAATGATTATTTTAGAAAACAAATTCAAGAAGTAAATTTCCAACGAAAAAATGTGCAGATGCAAGTGGGTGAAAAATTACGAGATTTAGAAGCCAATTGGGTAGGGTTAGTGAGCAAGAATTATGAGATAGAATTGGCATGCGCTCACTTGGAAAAACAAATAAGAGCATATGAATTGGCCAATCCAGAAAAAATGGACACTGATTAAAAATGTTATTGTAACTTTTTTCATAACTATGTATAAAGTATTTAAAAACATTTATGCTATAAGAATAATTAATAACGACACTGTCATGTATTATTTTTTCACAATTTTATATTTTCATGTAAAAAAAAGTATAAAAAATGTGTATAATAAAATAAAGCATTTTGCCTACATCAAACTTATAAACTATGTTTAAAAAACACATAAAAAACTTGAGTATCAAATACGTTTGACAGTCTGACTATCATTATGATAAATTGCACTAGGTATGTATTATTAAATAATTTGATTTGTTAATAGTAAGTCGTAAAAATAAGTACACTAATATTTAGTATTATTATTATGTAGCTTAATAAATATCTAGGATTATTCATTATAAAGTCATATCATTAGATCATAAAATATAGGTATTTTAAGGCTTAACAATTATATTTAAGTCATATATATTCAAAGGAACTGAATAAAGCCTAGCAATGCTCATTAATTTCAAGCTAAGGATATAATAAAAAAAAAATATCGCACAAATAATATTATGATTAATGACTAATTAACTTTGATTGTTAAAGTTCATAAAGTAGTTTCGTTTCTCTTACTGATCTCATTATTCATAATTGTTGATTCCAGGACTGCAATTCTCTCTTTTAAATTGTTCACCTAAACACCAATTTAATCGTATAGTCACAATCAAGTACAAAAATGTATTGAACATATAGGTAAATGTTACCTGAAGAGTGTGTGTGCTGACCATAATTTCAATTTCAGACTCCAATTTTTTTAAACGCGATTGGGATTTACGTTTAGCCCTTTCCAAATTACGCTCAAGTATTCTATGGTTAAAAAACAAATAAATATTTTATAATTTACTGTAATAAAAACTTTTAAGTTGTATAATCTCACGTGTTTTCATTGCGGAGTTTTTCAATTAATGTAATATTTTGCTTATGTCTAGTGTCAGAATTTCTTATTGCGAGTTGATATGCCGTTGTAACATCTTTTAACTGTTTCTGTAACTTAACATTTACACCGGCAGTACTATCAAAGTCTTCAGATGACAACTGACGCTCTAATGCTTGAATTGTATCTAAATCTATTCTAGACTGTTCTTCACACTCGGCCAAACGTTTTTCTAACTCGCAGTTATGTTTTTGCAATGCTACATAACGTTCTTGAAGTTCACTTTTTTCTTCTCGTATTCCCATCAATTCTTGCACAAGAACTGCCATTTCTAAATCAATACGAGTTACTTGATTACGGCTTCTAGGTTTGATTGTCTCTTCCTCACAATGATACGATTCTAAAGCAACTACTGTGGATCCAATTTTTTTCTTTTCTTCATCTAAATTATGCAACAACTCTATGATTTCGTCTTTCATCCTATTCAATCAAAACAAATTAATAATGTCAAACAATATTTTTTTACAGAAAATATAAAAAGTAAAAAAACATTAATCACATTTTCTCTTCTTCATTTGCTGAACCATCGTAAATGGACAATAAAGATGAATAACAGTTCATTATTTCTTCGCCTGTTTCTACCTCTAACTTTAGTGCAATCATATTTGATTCATATTTTCCCAATATTAAATATAATCTTAAATGTATACAACAAAATATTTTTTTAAAATACAAGTAATCATATAACAAAAATATGATGTAAAAACCCTTACTTGTCAGTTTGAGCAGCTGATTGTTCAAACATAAGCTCAAGAACTGCCATTTGTGAACGGACATGATCCAAACGTGTTTGCAATTGTTCAACTTGGCACATTAAAACTTCTTTGTTTCCAGATTCTAATAAATCACAATCAGAAATTGCAGCTGATGCAAGACGTTCAGCTATAGCCTTTTGACAAATCTAAAATTCAAATTTTTTTTTTTATAGAATAATTAAAATAAATGAACCAAAGACAAAACATTATAGTCATACACTAGTGCCTTCAAGGTTGGCTTCTGCACTATCTTCAATGAGCTTTTGCAGTTTTACTTTTTCGGCTAATTTAGATGTTTCCATTAATAAACGAGATGGAGACATTGGACCTGATGAAAAACTGCTTTCTGTATCCTGTAACTACAAGATTGTAATTAATAAGTCTTTATTGCTCTTGATTACTGATATATTTATATTTGGGGGACGGAGTGGCTAAGCAGACTAAGGCGTCAATTGCGACGTGTACCGGTGCGATCCAGGCTATACATGGGGCATTTTTCATCGGGCAGTCCCCGGGTCCGGAGATGAGGCCGCCATCCCCCATACGGGTATGGCAGATACCTACGAGTATCCACTTAAAAATTCTGCTAAACACAAACACTCCCGTGTAAAAACTTACCATACCAAACCCTACCACCACCACAATACAACCCTACAAACAGCTAATGGCAATAAATGTCGGGCTTAAAGATCAATAAAAAAAATTTTTCTATACATTTTCTTTACACGTTAAAATTTTCAAAATATTTTGATTTATTTTGAACTGTTTACGGACATTTTCAACATTAAAAACCCTTAGTCACAGTTTTTTGTTATAAGCATTTAAAGTTCAAATATTGACAAAATACCCAAAAATGAGTTAGAAATTCATAAAAATTTTTCTTTTTAAATCTAAGATATGAAAATGTAATACAAGATTCCTCACACATATTTTAAGTTCAAATTTGGACGAAATTACATATTAAAAACCTAGAATAACTATTTTAATTATTTTGTAGTGATTGTATAATATTATTCGTGGGTAATTGAAACTTCTAAAGTAAACTACTATATATCTAGGGATCAAAATTTCTAAAAAAAAGGTTTTTTTTTTCTAAAGAACTGAAAAAATAATCTATAGTGGAAACAATCTAATAAATAATGATAGTTGATATCATTTTATAGACATAATATTATATACATACCATATAAAAACTTTAAGTCGGTAGTGGATAAATCTAGAGGATTCTATACTTGATTTATAAATAAATATAATTTGTAACATTAACTACTAAAGTACTAACTATTAAGTATTTACTATGAAGTTATTTCTTATGAGTTATTAATATTATTTAATTTTTAAATATCCGTATTAATATTTTTAATAGTTTGATTTTAAATTTTAATACGATAATACATTGATAACCGTATTGTAAAATGTGAAATACTGAAATGACCATGACAGGTTTCCTTATCTATTTTTTAAAATGGTGTTTTTTACATAGATTATTATAATTTTTAAGCGTAAATACAATTCTTTAATTTTCCAAAAATTCAGTTTTTTTTTTAATTTTCCGAAAACTTAGGATTTTTTCGGAAATGTATTATGTTAATATTCTAAAATTTTTCCATGTTTTCCGAGGCTCTGGGAAAAAACCAGCTTTTTCCGAAATTTTCCCGGCATTTTGGTTACTACTGGCTACTATTATATATCTATTACAGTATCATGGTTTGTTGTTGATGTATAACAAGTTATAAGTACCTAATGACTATTGTGATAAGATTAATTTGGAATTTATAATAGGTACAATTTTTTTTTTAATACCATAGGTAAGTCTATAAAATGTCTCATACCTAGACTGACATACCGTCTCCGCTCAGAATCGTTTTTCTTATGCAATCATATTATATCATTGAATTCAAAATTAATACCATCCATTATACAGTGACCCCCTTGTAACCTACTGTACAGCATAGCGACTTTTTAATAATAAATAACATCAAAGTGTATGTATTAATAATTAATATCAACAGATAAAATTGAATAATCGTTATTGACCAATAAATAGCCGTATGCTCATAATATATCTCAGTTTTTATCTACTTTTCATAATTTATGGTCACTTAAAAAAAAAGGTGATAATAATAATAATAATAATAATAATAATCAATTTTTGCCTTCCCCTGTTCTATTATAAATGATTAAGATATAATAATGGTTTCTAGAAATACATTTTGTTGAAGATATTTAAAAAAAAATAAGTTTTCACTTTTTTTAGAAGACACTTGCTAATTTTGTTTTCTGGCATTTATATAGGCAACAAATATTTTACTATTCCCAATTAAAAACAATCAGTGTTATTATATTTTTATATTCCTTATAATTTTGTATATCAGTATACAGTTATACTGATCGAACAGCAATATTATGTTTCATAAATAAATAAAATTTTACCTTTAATACTAATTTTTCCTTTTCATCAGTTACTTCTTTCAAAATTTGTCTTGTTTTCTTTAACTCTTCATCTTTTAAAGCCAATTTAGTATGTACATCAGTATATATTATATGATTCTTGGTTTCATGGTCATCAAAACAAGCTGCACTGTCGCCCTAAAAAGAAAAATTTAATACAAAATATAAATTAAGGACAGTTTTGCATTTTTAAATTGTAGTTTTCTATCTCGTTTTTTATATACTCATAATTCTCTTCAAAATTGTTATATCACAAAAAGAAAAACAACACAAAACACAATGTATTACTTAGTTTCATATAACAGATAATTTACCCTAATACTAAAAATAACAACTATAACAACTCAAAATTGACTCTGATGAACATAAAATTGGTAAGTAGAAAAAATGAAAGAAGAGGAACCCTTAAGATTAATTAATTTAAAAATGTTCATAATGTACAGAGTAAAACCTATAAAAATAAAATTCAAAGCTCTCAAAATATTTTGTCAAATATATAAAATGTACAAATTTTTAACTGCCTACCTATAAAATAATTCATAAGTAAAATGTTTTATAATTATTTATTTGAATTGCACAATTATTACAAAACATAACATTGACTATATACCAAAAATATTGATGAATTTGTATATTATATTATTTATTTTACTATGACTTATTCTTAAAGTAAATGAAAGAAATATAATATTTGTTTTCTAATGTTTCTGATAATTTGAAAAGTAAAATATCTTTTGTACTTACTTCTTTAGATAAAACAATGGACTCTTGAATAAATGAAGATGTTTCAATACTTTGTCCATCAATTTCTAAAAAAATATAAATATTTTAAAAAATAATTCA